TCATAATGAGTGACTATCAGCTCACTTAAAAAATTGTGGCCAGGTGCGGTGGCTCATGCCTGTAATCCCAGCACTTTGGGAAGCCGTGGCGGGCAGATCACAAGGTCAGGAGATCGAGACCATCTTGGCTAACACGGTGAAACCCTTTCCCTACTAAAAATACAAAAAATTAGCCGGGCATGGTGGCGGGCACCTGTAGTCCCAGCTACTCGGGAGGCTGAAGCCAGAGAATGATGTGAACCTGGGAGGTGGAGCTTGCAGTGAGCCGAGATCGCGCCACTGCACTCCAGCCTGGGCGACAGAGCAAGACTCTGTCTCAAAAAAAAAAAAAAAAAAAAAAGGAAAAAGGAACCAATCCAAGGAAAATACACAGGACTGCTGTCCTTTTTACCAAAGGTCTTTCATTAACTAGTGTTGATGGAAGCAAATTTCACCACAGCAACTTGCATAGTAGTTGAGTTGCTATTTGTATGGAACAGCAAACCAGAGAATAATAAAAGAAAACACGAATATGTCAGTGGTGAGCAAGGGAGCAGAGCAGCCCTTCAGCTCTTTCCATGCTGATAAGAACAAACAACAAGATTGTTCATTATAATGAGGGATACTAATCACACTCAGTTACCACAGTATTAAGTCACTTCAACTATCTAGGGGTCTCACCTATATTCTCTCGTGTTTTGTCTGTTTGCAGTAGAGTGGTGCTTCTCAGCAATGCCCAGTAGCCATATTTCATCAGCAGAGGTTAATGACCCTGTTCATCGTTCCAAATGCATGTGCTTGAACAATGCACCTAACGAGTGAGCAGTGGCATACAACAATGGTGTAGGTGGAGTGAGCAATTTTGGGGATATAAGTTAAATATCAAACATAGAAAGGCAGTAGTTAAGGAGAACATGGATGTAAAATATGGATGGGCCAGAGGCAGTGGCTCACACCTGTAATCTCAGCACTTTGGGAGGCCGAGGCGGGCGAATCACTTGAGATCAGGAGTTCAAGACCAGCCCATCCAACATGGTGAAACTCCGTCTCTACTAAAAATATAAAAAGTAGCAAAGCGTGCTGGCTGTGGTGCCTGTAATCCCAGCTACTCAGGAGGCTGAGACGGGAGAATCGCTTGAACCCAGGAGGTGGAGGTTGCAGTGAGCCGAGATTATGCCACTGCACTCCAGCTTGGGCATCAGAGGAGACACTGTCTGAAGAAAGAAAAAAAAAAAAGTCATGGACGCCCTGATTGTTGACTTGACGTCAGAGAACTTTTAAAGCAGGTCAGAAGAATACAGACAAGTGTGTATTTTATTTTTAAGTCAATATGAAGAAGGGTGCAATTAAGTATTGAGAGGTACAAATGCGAGCATGATTAAACAGAGCAGGATGATAGGAGAGCAAAGCTCTAGAAGTGGCTTTGTACTAACTAGGTGATCTCAGCCAAACCACCTGCATTTCTTTGAGTCTCATGTCTTCACATATTTGTTGTAGGATGAAACATTTTAAGGTGGACTAGAAAGTTCTTCTCAACTCTTAAGTTCTCTAGGTTTCTGAATAGAGATAAGAAGGTTCAATACAACCACGTCCCTGGAGACTTTAAAAAATGGCAGTAATCCAACAAAAGCTAATTTAAGAAAAAGAATAGAAGAAGAATTATGTATTGGAAGTCCAGGAGGTTTGTGGGCTTCAGTCAAGGGTGGATGTAGTCCTCAAGCAATTCTGTTTCTTGGCTCCCATTTCTTCTTTGCCGGCCTCATTGCTTAATAAGTTTCTTCAACATAGTAGAAAATACAGACTTTGAAACGCCAGGCTAATATAAGCTGTGGCTTCAGAAGGAAAAAATTTCTCTCCTGGCATCCATATTAATCCTCTAATAGGACACCTCTGGTGTTGCTTAGCTCATATGTTCAGGGGGATAAGATGCTCTGACTTGCTAGCCTGGGCCACGACCTACTTTCCTACTGCAGCAGGAAAGGTTAGTTAGGCCTCCTGACCAAAAGTTTCATGGAAATCACATGGAAAAGAAGAACAGGAGTTCTCAAAGAAAAGATATGTGGCACAAAGAAAAACAAAACAAAACAAAACAAAAAACCCAAAACAGGTGTCTGCTTATACCGTTTATACAAGATGGCCAGTCAGGGAGAATATTTATTTAAAATTTAAAATGTGTATATTTAAAATGCCAATTCTAGGAATTCTTTGGTTGTTTTTATTCAGCTATCCCAAATCAAGCATTGCCATTGGCATCAGATTTGTCGGAAGAGTAGTATGACCCGTATGTATTTGGAGAAAACTGAGAACATAATTTTTAAGTTCCTATAATTTTATGAAGTTCTGTGAGTAGACTGGACTTCTTTCCATCTATATTTTATCAGATGAGTGAGTTGTGTTTGGCTGCATAAAAGATCTGATACTCATTATTGATCTAGTAAGTTTTATCTAAGGTGTTTGGAGTTGCCATACTAAGTTGACTCTGGAGGAACAAGATTAGTTTTCTTTTGTGATTGATGAACCCTACTATGTATTACTCCAGTTACACTGCACCACTAAACAATGTAATTCATTACAAAGGGCCCAGCTCTGAGAACCTCCTAATATCCAGAAATAATGGAGCTAAGTAGCCACATCCTCATAGGAACACAGCAGTGATCTTATATCTCACAAATATTGAAGAGAGTTGGGGTAAGGACACAGTTTACTGAAACCAGGTGGTGTAGAACTCTGTTTTGTTGGCCTGCCTGATGTCCGTTGTTCCTTCTGTTACAGAACCATAATTTTGCATTTGGAGACTATTCTTTCTATTCTTAGTCCACTCCTTTTGGGATTATCAATGAAAGTACTCCATACTTTCCCCTAGTCAAGCAGTAGGCAAGAGATCTAAGCTAGGCTCAGTAGCTGTTCTCTTTATGCAGTTTCATCTTGAGTAGAATGACATAAAGTTTAGAGGAACCCAGAATAAAATGCTCATTAGCTCATCAGCTCATCCTACCCACATCTCGACCCAGCCAGACCTGCTCTAGTTGTTACTCCCTTCAGATTTGGGATCCTCTTTTCCAGTGTATCTATTTGTTACCTCTATATCCTTCTAATAACTTCTAAGTACATGTTATTCAATTAGCAACTCATTGCTATCAGTTAGCAAGTCCCAGGTACCAAACCACTCCAGAATTCCATTTATTTAGTTCTTGGTTCTGTGAGTTGGAGTTGACACTGGGCTCAGCTGGGTAGTTTGTCTGCTCAGTTGGGTTTCCATCTCAGTCATCTGTAGTCATCCTGAGATCGACTGGGCAACTCTGCTTCTGGGCATTTGCTGGCTGGCAGCTGGGGCAACCTGCAGGGTGACAGAGGTGGGAAGAGTCCTAGACCATGTGTCTGTTGTCATCTAGCAGGTTGGCCTGGGCCTATTCAGATGTCAGTGACAGGGTTCCAAGTGAAAAAGTGGAAATGTGTGAGGTCTCTTAAAGCCTCAGTCCAGACTGAAACAGAGTTACCTCAGCTATATTGTACTCACCAAATCAAGTCAGGAGGCCAGCCCAGATGCAAGAAGTGAAGCAGATGTGCATGGCCTCTTGATGGAAGTAGCTACAAAACCGCAATGCCAATGAGTGAGGATGCAGGAAGAGAAATGATTGAGGGCACTTAAACAATCTTCCATACCCCAAGTTGGTTTCTGTGTCTTATAGCTAAAGAACCTGATATGCCAATCAAAACCCCTTTAAAAATACACCCTAAAACACTGGCCTGCTCTTTTTACTTTTTGATGTACCTGATTATGGGAGGTTTTGGGAGCAAAGTCAGTTCCTCTACAGCATACAAAATAGAAACAATCTCTTATCCTTAATCCCAGCATGCTGTGTCTTCAGGAGATTGCTTACCTCTCGTCTGTAACCCTCTTCGCTCTGCAGCCTCAAAGGGTCATTACCGTCAGTTCTGTCATCTGCCAAGTCTCCTGAAATTTTGGTGTACACACAGTTACAACACACCAGCATGACTTTGTCACTCTACTATATGACTGTTTCCTGCTATATCTAGTATAGCACTTGCTAAAACATTTGAACTTGCCTTTCTGGGATACATATTAGGCTTCTCTAACTTATGTTTTCCTTTTACGTAACAGCCTCGTGGTAAGCTATATCAAAGAGAGAGTAAGGTAAATACTCATATTAATATACACTGCTGTAGGTGTTTCTTGCCAGTTTTCATCCAAGTTCTGACTCATCCTAGTCCTCTTTAGGTTTGTGAGATATAATAAGATCATAGCACAAGGTGATATAGCTGCAGGCAGAAAATATGTTTTCTTAATAGCAAGTTCACAAATTAATGTAGGGCACTGAGACACCATGGCTGTATACATGCATTAAGACAGAGCTCTCTTCAGTTGACGACCTTCCCTTCCAACCACTAATTTCTCTGGGATGGTGCCAAACTCTTAGTCAAATGTAGCTTCAATGCATCCCACCCTCTCAATGTGAAACAACAATTAATAAGACTTTATGGATGAGGTGGTGTTCCACTTCCATTAATAACACTTATTATTCCAGGGTGTTTTAATTTGGTTATAAAAATTGACTCTAGGGGCGGAACTTGGCTTGGGAGCTTATTTTAAGGGCAAATGGTTTGTTTCTAATTTTTCTTTCAAAAGAAAAAGGCTTTTCTTTTTTTTCTAAAGGAAATTTTATGTAGCGTTTAGTTATACAAGCATGAGACCAAAATTCCTAAAATATTGGTATGATTACAGATTTTTAATTGATTTACTATTATCCTTTGGTATGTCAGGTAAAGCTGAGAGACGTCCCAGGGCTTCTCAGCTAGCTTGGAGTTGGCAGGCTCCAGCACTCTGAATGTCATCAGTTGGGATTAGAGGGTGTTTCTTTTACATTGCTTCTCACACTTCAACATCCAATTCTCTTCTCAGGCAACAGTTTATACAAGCTACTGGCTGAACTGCATTTAATGATAAGAGGCAACTCATTTTTACATTGTATTTTGATGGGTATTTTACTTTCTTATTACAGATCTACTGGAAGAGACCCAAAGAAAAGATGAAGAAATGGGATCTCTGCAGGTAAATTCTTAAATAGGGCAAGACTCCTTGGTATGAAAACATTTGTTTTCTGCTCTTTTATCCTTTATTGTTGTCACATTCATTCTGGTATAGCAAATGGGGTGACAAGGACAACGTCAGAACTATAAAGTTGGAATTTGCTTCCTTTAGATCAGTGCTTCTGAGAGCAGTGATCTAAAGCAGGAAGCCAAATCAGCATCTATGCTGCTTTTGATAGGAAATTTTATTCCTTGGTATAGCATAACAGGAACTGCAGCATTAGGAAATGAAGGCAGTATGCCTTCATAGTCATTTCCCTCAAAACAGTACTGATGAATGAGGATGAATTCATGGAATCTACATTTTCAAGTGAAAGTCAAAAGTATTCTGACCCCATGGGTGTCATCTACCAGTGACCAACCAATTAACACATAAATAGAGCTTAAGATTGTCTTATACAGCCTCTCAATTCAGTAGAGGTTTATTCACATTGCTTGGGCTGGAAAATTGTGTTAGAAAGATTCCACTTGAATTTTAATTGACACTTCCGTGAGCAATGGATGTCAAGTTGACATCTGACAGAAGTTCTCTCTTCCCTTCACATTGGGCTAACTTACAAATGGCTAACTCAAGTGTCTGTCTTTATTAGGGGGAACATAATCGGTTATATTCCCATGACAGAACCAATTCACTTAATGTCGCGTTGGGGATTAAGAACAGTAAATACTTTGGACATTTAGAGTTCTTCATTGGCCTGGAGCTACAAGGCAAGACTGGAGAGTGATGTAATGAACTGGTTTGAGTGCTTTAAGGGTAAAGATTTTTGCTTTTGGCAAATGAAAGATAGGCCACATAAAGTCCAAAGAGCAAGGGAAATGTTCTGTGATTGGGGATTCTTCTACTTGATGGTATATCCATTAAGAGAAAATTATATAATTGATCTGAAAATGCAGAGGAAGCATAGTTTATACATCTAATAAAAATGGTACATGTTAACTGTGGTTTTGTACAGATTAGATTATTTTAACATCTCTTACTATATTCAGGTATATATATGTTAAAAAAAAAAAAGAGCCTTGGTTAGTCCAGTCTGGGGCTAGGAAGAATCTCAAGTGTATACTTGACCTGCCTATCTCTGTGAAACTAATATCAGCAATACTTGTTGTTACAAAAAGCATAGCTCTTTGTACACTAAATGTGTATATTGAGAAAGTCTTTTTGGGCATTGTGGTTAAGTGTTGTGTTTATCCAGAATAGCATATATAAACATACTTATTGAGTGTATATCTGGCCTTTTGAAATGGCAGCACAAGTAATTTTTTCTTTCATGGTACAAATGTTGGAACTAGTAATCTCATTAAATTTAATAGCCTATGTTGCTTCTCAAATGTTTATTAAATACTGGCAGCATTTTCTACTGAAATGTCCATCCAGTGCAGTAGAATGCACCAGCCAACTAGCTATGGACATTTATAGTTGGAGAATGTGTAATATGATGTCCCAGAGCAGAAGAGTTAAATGTTGACACTTTGTATTGGTAACTGGTGCCTGATATTAACACTGTATTATGAATAAAGAAGGAACTCTCGGAATGTAAAAGAGTACAGAAGCATGTCACAGAAAGCCTTTAATGTTAAAGGTTAGAGGAAAATCCTTGGAAAAGTGCCTATATTCCTGATTTCTATATTCACATATGAATATCAGAGATGATAGTTTGGAGAATACTATTCAAGTATATAGGCTGAAATCCTACAATGACACAATAGTACCTGGCTCTGTTTCTGATTCACTGGGTAACCTTGGATAACTCAATTAACTTTGCTGTGCCTATTTTCTTATCTGTAATAGAAAATCATAAAATTGTCTTCCGGAAGTGTTTAGTGTGGATTAGATGATCCCAGAAGGGAGAGCTAAATATTTAATTCCAATTTACAATGTTAGCACATCCTCATGTATCCAAATTGGAGTCAATTTTATTTACTCATTATCATCTTATAATTATGTATAACAGACATTCTGCATTTTATGCTATTCTCCTTAGGGGTAGGGGGTATTTTATTTAGCTCTAAACCCTTTCCAATTTCCTATAAATGAGGTACTCTATTTACTCATTGAACAAACACTTACCATCACCAATTCTGTGCACACCACTGTACTAGGTGCTAGGGATACAAAGGCAAGCTGTGTATACTGGATGGCTTCTTGCCCTCTATATTACAATTAGTGAAGACTATAAAAATCAGTTTTTATAATAAAATGCTCAAAAATCATATTAAAGCAAAAGTATAAGTGACTGTGGGAACATATCGTAAGAACATCTGTCCTTGTTTGTCATAGGTAAGTGTAGGTTGACAGAACTGAACGGGAATTAAGTACAGTTGAGGTAGGTTAAACTGGAGTGGGGTGGCAATCCAAGTAGGCTTCCCAAAGAAAGCCAATGTTGGAATGATAACTAGGAGTTAGCTAGGCAAGTCTACAGTGAAGATAAAAGTTTTCAGCAGTGGAAAGGATAGGGGAAGGCCTAGGGTAAAAGAGTGCAGTTTCATGTCTAAGGAACTGAAAGTTCAGTATATTGGAATGTAGCATCTGAGAGAGGGGCAACAAAACGAGAACTTTTTAAGTAAACGAAGGTCTAAAAGACCTTGTGGAGGAGTTTGGACTTTACCTTCAGTATATGAGAAATTGGAAAAGGGTTTGAAATAAGAGAACAATATGGTAAGTCTGCATTTGAAAGAGATACCTGGCTGTAACATGAAAAATAATTAGAGGCAGGCAAGATTGAAACCAGGGAGACCAATTAAGCAGATGTTTGTGAGACTCTCGGCAAGAGATGACGGTGACCTGGATTGGGTGGCATCAGAGAGCATGAAGAGGAGTGGGTGACTTCTTACTATGTTTTAGAATATAAAGTCCATGGAACTTTGAGATTGGTTGTTAGGAAGTAAAAGGGAAGGAGTTAAGAATGATTCTTGGGTTTCTCGATTCAGCAGCTTCACAGATAGTTGTGCTCGTCAGTGATATAGGAGGAAGTTGATCCGTTCAGTTTTTGGTATTTTGAAATGTCCAGGAGGTAATGTTAAGGTTAGTTCATATGAGTCTGGAGCTCAGAAGGTGTTTGATCTGAACATGCAGAATTTGATGCCATCATATCTGTTGTCCATATCGTAGGAATGATACTAAAAGTCATATAGCAAATGTGAACTCCCAGGGGAAGTATTTAGAATGAGGAGAAATGAAATCCTAGGCCAGAACCCTAGGAAACACCAACATTTAAACAACAGGCTAAGGATGAAAATCTTGCAAAGGAATCTAAGACATAAAGGAAATAATTTCAGGAACACATAGTGCTATGAAGTTTAGCAAAAGAATATTTCAAGGGGAAGATCATCAACAGAACTGAATAAATATTTGTTAAATTCTTGGATCCATTTAGCTATGGGGTTTAGGTTTCAAAACAAAAATTTACCTTTCAATGAACTGTAATTTCCTATCATACCTGTCAATCAACTCTCACATCTTACACTTTTCCGGATGTCCACTACTTAGCACAGTGCCTCATCTTAGTAGGTACTCAATAATTTTCTGTTTACTAAATAAATAAATGAATGCCACCCTACTGGTCTCTTATTTATATAGCTCCTATTCCCGGGTCTCCTCAAGATCCACCCATTAAAAAACAACACCAGTCCCTGTCCTGTCCTAGAGTTCATTTTTCGTTTAAATTTTTGAGGGAGAGACGTCCAAACTCTGCCATTCCTGTACAGACACAGACACACACAAACACACACACACACATACGCGCAGGAGTAATTTCACATGAGTGGTAGTAAGCAGTGGAAAAGGATAAAACGACAGAGGGAGCGGAGCCGCAGGGAAGAGAGCATTTTCAATCTTAAGGGGAATCACAAACAATGGAGACAAACATGTTTGACAGTGATTTTTACAATACAGCTTGTAATTACCAAAATTCTTCATTGGAGCTTAACATTGTCTGGCTCCTTTTTGTGTGTGTGACATTCATTTGCAGTTACATTGTGTACTGCTCCTCTTAAAGACAAAGTATTGTCTTTGACTATAAATGTGTAGTGCAGTATCAGAGTTTTATTTGCATATGAGTTTGAGCTACATTGAAACAAGCAAATCCCTTTTTCATTCCTCTCAAGATCAGCCGAAACTTTAAAATAGACACACAAGGTAATCCATTTTTCCTGATTTAGTTGATTGTATTCAGTGACTTGACACCTTGCTGGTGATGGCTAATAGTAGTAGGTATTGCTGTTGTTTCATGTTTTTATTTTTTTAAATACCAGTCTACCTGGTTCACCTTTCCCCATGTTGCTTTCTAAATCCTCAAATGCAACGCACATGGAGAGTTAGTATCATGCTTAGTTATGAAAGCTTCACGGTGGGTCCTATGACAGTCACTAAACAGACTATCTGCAAAACTCATGTGCCCTTACTCATATGATAACTTACTGGTCATCTCTCTTTTCATTTTATTTGAAATCATTCATTCAGTAACTTCCAGTCATCTCTCTTCATTTTATTTGAAATGAGTTAAAACTAGATGATTATGAACATAATTTTTACTATTCATTTTCCTTTCATACTAAGCCATTGGTAGGTTATTTTGTGTCAGCACAACATATAGATATTATAATTAAGGATAATAATAATACTGATTTCATAGGACTCTTGAGAGGATTAGCTACCATAAGAAATGTGAAAATTTTGGTGCCTGACAGGTCGTAATAAATGTTAATTCTACACAGTGACTGTTTACACCTACTGTGTGTCAGAGATGATGCTGCATGCTTAGGGATAAAGCAATAAACGAGTCAGAGAAGGTCTCTGCCCCCATAGGGCTCCTCCTTCCCTCTTCCGCCACCTTCTACCCTTGCCCTTTCTCTTACCTTCCCCCTGCCATGGTCAACTCTGAAATTCAAATTCATATTTTTGTGAGATTATGCTGAAGGAAGTAGTAGTATGTCTTTGGCCAGCTGCTAAATATAATGAGAAAT